TGAGTTCAGATCTGAAGTTGCGACTTCAGATCCTAGCCCATACCCGAAAATGGTTATCACCCATGCTATAAAAGCCCTAATCTTCAACATGAAGAGATCTAGAAAGAACAAGGTCAAGGTAACAACTTGTTACCTTCAAATGATGCTAAACTGAGGTAGACTTCAGATCCCCAAACGTTCTTGCCTCCAACTTCTTGATCTTCAAGCTTCTAGCAACAAAATCTTCTTTCCAAGCTTGAAATGTACACTAATATGGAGCACACACACGAATTAGGGTTTCTGGACTCTCAAGAGGCAGTAAAGGGAGGCTAAGGGGAAAATGATCCTTTAAATAGGGTGCAAAACCCCGGAAATTAGGGTTTCATCCTCCATGTCCTACTCATCGAGTCCCTTCTTGGACTCGGCGAGTAGGTCACTTAAGTGCGCGGCCTAACCCGCTGCTACTCGACGAGTCAGGCAACCAACTCGTCGAGTAGACCTTGAATCCATGAGAATTTATCACCATAAATTGATATTCGAGAATCGGGGCGTTACAATTTAAAACAATAGAAGGGGCCCACACACACATTCTCTATCTCTTCTCTCTCTCTCTCTCTCTCTCTCTCTCTCAAGGTTTGTCTAACACCCAAGAGCATATTCAAAGATTCAAGAACATTCAAGAACATCTTCCACCACCACCACCACCACCACCTTCTGCCACCTCCATCTCCACCTAAACTTTTTTTACCACTTCAACTTCGCCAAAAAATCACCCCAGAAACAAAACCATACACAAAATATGGGTTTGTTCTTGAGTTTGCCCCTATGTGATAAACAAGCACACACATGAAATCAGATCTGATGAACGCACACACAAAATCATATCAGATGAATACACACACACGAAATCAGATGAACATACACACACAATCTGATGAACACATACACACACAAAATCATGAACACGTACACATGAAATCAGATGAACACACATACAAAATCCGATGAATACACACACACGAAATCAGATCTAAAGAACACACACACACAATCATATGGAATACCTCTAGCCTTGGCTTGACTATCTTTCACCTCCATCAAATATATCCTCACAGCTCTCGCATCAAATGGCTTTGACTCTGATAGCCGTCGTTCTCCTCGTACGCTGCCATGAGTCGATCGATGAGTGCGTCGAGGCTCCCCCAAGCTTATTTCAGTGGACAAGCACACGACGCCAGTGGGTTTGGATAACTCAACTGCACCACCAGGCTGTGATGGACCTGGAGGTTCTCCAGGGTCGTGTGAATCGGATCCTGATGCCAAATCCATAGTTGGAAAGTTTCAAAAAAAAATTATGGGGTGGATCGATTGATTGATTGTGGAGAGAGAGAGAGAGAGAGAGAAAGAGAGAGAGAGAGAGAGAGTGTGTGTGTGTGTGTGTGGACCCCTTCTGTTTTTTTAATTATTAAAATATTAAAATAAATATTTAAAAAAATATAAAAATAAAAATAAAATGGTATAATAATCATTTTAGTTTTCGGATGGACCATTTCCACATAGAAACATGGCCAAAATGACCATGAAACCAAAAAAAAAAATCAAGGTTTAAACTAAAACCTTGAAAAAATGCATACCACATAGACTATTTTTGCAAAGAAAGTAAAAAGTAAAATATGAAAACTAAAATGAACCAAAGTAAACTTGTTATACTTTTCACATGACAAGTAAGGTGCTGTTTGTTTTTTTTTTTTGAATTAAAAATTCATGAAGTCTGCGGACCACCTCTACAACCCTCTGCAGTAGAAAAGGTGGATCAAACGGTTGCAGACTGTAATAAGAAACGTGATTGTTTTTTTTAACATCTGCATGTTGCTGTAGATATTAAAAAATTAAAATAAACTGATTTTATAAATCGAAATAGTTTTTTAATACCGAAAAATTAATAATATATGATATTTCAGCAAGAATTTATGATATTTTAGCAAAAAATAATGATATTTCAACAAAAAAAATAAAGATATTTTAGCAAAAAATAATGATATTTCATCAAGAAATTATCATTATTCAATATAAAAAAATTGAAAAAAAAAATCAACAAGAATAAACAGAAAAAAACAGAAAAAAAAGGTAAAATAAAGATTTCAGCAACATATAACCAAGATTACAGCAAGAAAAAAGTAGAAGAAGAGGTTGGAAAATACAAGTGTTGCACCAAACAGATCACGCAGAGGTTTTTACTCTGAAGACTTCTAAAAAACAAATAACTGTGAGATTAAAAGTGTTGCGCGTGTGTTGCGTCACACAACAATAAGAGGTCTGAAGAGATTTTTTATAAAAAACAAACAGCACCTAAATCATTTTGATAGTGTCCTAAAAGCTAATTTTAATACTAAATATTTTGGTTTCAATTTTTTATAATTAATTACATAAATTTATACATTTATAAAAGATATTACACAATTTGTGATTTTTTTCTTCATATAATATTTTTATGATTTTTTGGCAAATACTTTTATGAAATAAGAATTACGGTAGCGAGTTTTATGATTTTTTTAATTTTGCAAAAATAAAATAATCTTTTTTTAATAATTATAAAATATTATTTTTATTAAGTAATTAAAAAATAAGAGGAATATACATTGCAACCTTATGGTTCAGGTAAATGATAATAATGTAGTTCCGAGATGGCAACATTTTTGTTGTATGTTGTGGTATGTATACCTTACAACCTTATGGTAATGTTTAACATACTACCTTTTAACTGAAAAGTTAATTATTGACTAATAAATTAGGACTAATAAACTAGTTGGGACTGGTAAAATAATAACGTTTAATAAAAATAACTAATAAATGACAAATATAAATAATATAAAAAGATACTTAAATATATAATTAAAAACAATGTAAATGCTTATCTAAACCATTTGACCCATTGGCCTGTCATGTCAATTCACTAAATGCTTTTTGGCGTTTGAGCTATCCAAATTGTTAATATTAATCTTACTTCGAAAAGGACTAACGTATAATAAAGCTCAAACGGTTGGATTCAATGAATGGCTCCTGTGACATTTAACAGAAAGAGCAATATGTATTGTAGAGTTTGATATCGATGTTTTAACAAATAACATGCACATTTATCATAAAGCTCGTCTCTAATTAATGGTTCTAGGCCCTAACTCATTGGTTATTATTATTATTAGATAAATATGTCTAAAAACATACCAAACCAACACACATTACAAATGCTTAAATAATGAAAGAGATGTTGACCAAATTAAATGTCTCTGCAAATCAACGTCTTTTACGTTTATACCAACCAACCTTCATTTTACTGATTTACTAATTTGTGTTTGATTTTGAATGGTAAAAACTGATTTGTTTTAGAACTTATGTTTGATTTATTATATACAAAACATGATATATGTGATAATAAGCTTGGATATCGAAGTTGGATCATGTTGCAACCTTTCTTTAATGAAAATTGTTGGAAGATAATCCTAGCTTACAGCCATGCAAGCAACTCAAAGCCCGACTAGATTCGTGTTAATGGTATGCTCTATATTTTGAGAGAGAGAGAGAGAGAGATTCCAAAAACGTTGGTCGTATATTTATATGGCCGTTAACAGCCAAATAAATAAATATTACAAATTACCGTTATAAAATGATTTAGGTAATGTTTAACGTGTATTTCACCATCAAAACCTTTCATTAGGGATGTAATTTCCAATCACATCGATAGTCCTGGTTTTTCGGTTATTTTTAGTTCCAAACCTAATTTTCAGTTATTTTAGATTCCATAACAATGAGCCAAGTACTTTCAGTCGTAGCTAGTTCCAAAACCAATATAACCGGCCCCGAACAAACTCCCTTATACTGGTACGATCTTCGATTCTATGATTTGTCACTTTCGGTTTTCGGTTCTTCTGGTTACACCCTTAGTCTCATTACTAGGGGTTTTTTTTTAACGTTGGGATTTTATTAAAAAAGAACTAGCAAGAAGCTAGCAAAAAGAACAAAACATCAAGCAATAGCTACAATTGGGTTTTGTAACCACCCAACCCAATTAATGTTTTTTCTACTCCTAGCATTAAACCAAAAAAAAAAAAAAAAACTGACTACGTCACAATAACATGGAAAAGATCACCCGCTCTAAAGTTTATAAATTCTAAACAAACCAGAATTTCTAAAGTTCCAAAGAAACCACCAAGTAGAATAAAAAATCCCCTCTAAGCAAATCTTGACTTCTTTTTTCAACCTAAGAGACATGAAGCGATACAACAAATATCACTACTAGGGATTAGTCTCACTATTAGGGATTTTGAATGGATTTTCACTCTCATTCCATCACGGACTTATACACCAAATCCCTGGCCGTATCTTTTGGTCAAATGATCCGCCAAATTTTATTGTGCAATCCAAATTCCACCAAAATCATTTCATTCATGATTATTCAGAAACCATATTGTTCGCGACACTCACATACTTGCCATTATTACGGTTAACTATATGCCTTAGACAAACTTGTATAGCTATCACAACGAAGAGAGACAACATAAATCAAATTTCTTAACCACTTAGTCTGTTTAATGACAATTGGTAATGCTAAAAATTCATATTCCATTGTTGAAGTGATGATGCAAGTTTGTTTCTTGAAAGCCCACGAAATAAAACCTCCACCAAACAAGAATAACGATTGACCATATAGAAGAATGATCTTCTACATGGGTTATCCAACTTGTATTATTATATCCTTCTATAACCGAAGGATATCCAAAATAAGATTTGTGCTTTTCATGTCATACATATATATAAAATAAAGTATTCCGATTGTTACACCACTTTGCCTATATTAACAATAAGCACACTCGGACCCATGAGAGTACTAGGAGAACAATCATAATTATAAATTTTATCAAAAAAAAATCTTAATATATGAGACTAGATTTGACTGAGACATTACAACATCATTAAACGCAGAAAAATAGATGGAAACTTATATCTCAATAACCAAAAATAAAATAGTTCCTGATATTTTCACAAAATTAGCAGTGTGAATTAATGTTTGCTAGATTACAATAAAATATTATCAACAAAAGAGGATAGAACTTGAACTAATGTGGAAGACGAGTGTTTTGTAATTGTGCTGAAGCTACATTATGAAACTGTGAAGATGCCACATTGTGAAACATTGTGGGTACTACTACTACACCTTGTAAATGTGGTGGCATCATGTTGTGTAATTGTAACAGCCTTGTGTTAGGAATTTCCTGAAAAAATAAATACAACCATTTTTTTTAAATATTATATAAACAAATTATACTTATATTGATGGGGAAAGAATAAAGATTAAAGACAAACCATGTGGTGAAAACTCGCATCGATTCCAATATTTACAACTTCTGGTTGTGTAGCTACCTGAATCATATGACATAAGTTTATTATTACCATGGTGAAAAGTTAAAAAAATTATAAACAATTAATCAAATAAACAAATAAACAAACCTTCTCTTTCCCATTTTCTGTTCTCTTAACACCCTTTTTCAACTTCTCCACATTCAAATTAGGCACTTGCTCTTCTTCCTCATAAACCCCAACAGACTTTGATGTTGAAGGTCTTACACTTACTTCATTCACAACACAATTATTATTATTATTATTATAATTATTATTCACATTCGAACATTGCACCAAAGCATCTTTTATCGCACCCAATGCAATCTTATAACTCTCTTGTGAAATCGACCCCTCTTCCCCCAAAATTATAGCCCTCCTACATAAATCATTGAGTCTTCGTGTTTTCGTTTGCACATTTTCAAGTTTTTCAGAAATCGGGTACTTACTTTGAGCTGCATTTGTCCATCTTTGTAATACGTATTTAAACGGAATACTAAAAACACCAGACATTTGAAGTACAACAACTGCATGTCTACATAAAAACCCTTTGAATTCAAATGTCCTACAAGAACAATTAATATCCAATTGTGTCTCATTCCATTCCACCATGTAATCTTGACTTGTTTCAAAGTCTTTGACTACATAAGTCACACAATTCCCTTCTTCTTTTTCTATCTTTAAATGACACGCAGCTGCTCCCAACACTTCATCTTGAAACTTCTTGAAGATCTCATGAGTGTAAACGAATGATAACTGTTTTTCAAAGGGTGATGGGGATTTCAACTCGGGTGTATCATGCCACGTGTCAAAATCTGCTTTCGCTTGGTCTTCGTGTATATCTTCCATTATCACTTTGTATTGTTCTAGAAACTCTTTCAAAGAAGTTTCTGGATGAATGTATTTGTCAAAAAAGGAATTCGGGCTCTCGGATCGAGAAAATGTAGACAACCCAGCAAAAGAAATGTTTTTTATAAAAGTTGGGGCCCACAGTTTGCGATCTTGGTATAAAGATTGAAACCATGTGTCATCATTAAGATTGAATTTGTTAACTAATTTACCCCATCTTTTATCAAACTTTTCTTCAGTCCATGATTTTTGTATGCATTTACTAAATTTTGCCATGAAAGTGTCATGCCATGGGTTTAAATAATCAAGTTGCCTTGAAACTTTTTCTAGAACATTCCATAGATTGTAACAATGTCGGGTGTCTGGAAACACTGCTACAATGGCTGCTTCTAGAGAATTGCTTTGATCAGTGACTATTACATTTGGACACTTACTTCCCATTGCTAAATACCATGTTTGAAATAACCAAATGAATGTGAATAATGTTTCATCTGCAATCAATCCACATCCAAGTAATGTAGGTTGACAATGTTGGTTGACACCGATAAAAAGAACCAATGGGATTTTATATTTGTTGTAAAAATAAGTCGTGTCAAAAGAAACCACATCACTAAAGTTTGTGTAATCATCCATGCCTTTTGCATCAACCCAAAATATGTTTCTAAGTTGATGTTCTTCGTTTAAATCAACAGCATAAAAGAATTTTGGATTCTCTTCTTGCATTGTGACAAATGATTCAAGAAGTATTTGAGCATCACCTTCTTCTAATGTCAAACTCCTACCCCTGTCATCTTGATTTCTAAGATAACTCTCCAAACCAGTTGATTGATATATGTTATATTGTTTTGACATGGAGGATAATATCGTCTTTCTACGTACCTTGGTGTCGTTCTTGAGAGGATCAGAGTTTCTATGGCTTCGGAAGAAATGTGATTGAGAAGGTAAAAGCTCATGGTTATGGTCTTTTATGAAACTATGAATGTACCATTTTCCATTTTGTCTTCTTTTGACATGCATACTTGCTTTACAACCTATTTTAGGTGAAGGTCTTGGATTGATTGCATCATCAGATTGTTGTTTGTTTCCATATCTTATGCATGAGAATTTAGCATCAATGAACTCTTTTGATGCTCTTGAACGACGACTACTCAGTTTAGCAGTTCCAAATCCAACAGATTTCGCGTATTCTTTGTAGAATTCGTATGCTGCTTCGTTTGAATCGAATTCCATTGTTTCTTGAGGTTCTGATTTGATACTCTCAGAAACGGTATTAATATCCATATTTGCAGTGGTGAATGGAAGATGTTGAATAATTCAAATTTCAACCACAATACATGTTCACATTTGGTCTACCATATTCAGGGATACATAAGTTTGTGTCTTGTTGATCCAAAAGATAGCCTGGAGATTGAAAGGCAAAGTGACAAACACTTAAATTAATGGTGAAGAATTTATAATTATTACATTTCCTAATTAAGCAAAATCAAATTGATTATCAGACACATAGTCTTATCTCTGTGCCAAAGAAAGAGCTAACATTTCAACTTTACCCATACCTATACTATCCAAAAAGCATAGTTCATATGAACTGTGATGGAATTTAACACAAGTATTTCGTCATAACTTAAGTTCAAAACCAAGATCGAAATTAGCTGACATGTTCAAAGTAAATATGTAAAAATTATCAGTAAAGGTACAATTCATGAATCGAGAATCTGGCATGTAAATGTAAGTGTGCGTTGCATTAAAACTTTGAACTGCATATACGAATATTCAGGTTATTATAGCATCAAGCAACGAGATTTCATAAGTGAAAATGGAAATTCAGATCAAATACCGGGAAATATACGAGACGAGGAAGATTCCACCAAAATTGCAGATAAATCACGAGAGATTGAAGAGCTACCTATGATATGGAGATGAAGGTAGCAGTAATTTCGATTGAGATCACAAGATTGCCGATGTATTCACAGTTTCAATCTTTTTAGGGTTTCTCTGGGAATTTGGGGAAGGATGACGAAGAAGGTTTTAAAAGAACTTGGTTGCATTTTGATCGGCTTCCGTACTCGCATTTGTATTTGCTTTAAAGTGCACTCGTGATGTAGAGGTGACACGTGTTATTCTTTGGTTGAAGGGTAGATTCGGAATTAAAATAATGTTGCATCCAAATTAGAAAAAAAAAAAAAACAAAATCCAAAACCCCCTAACTTTGTTCAAATTATATATTGGTCCTGGTATTTTCATATTTTAATTTGGTGACAATCAAGGATACCAAACAATAAAAATGCATGACAAAATTAAGACGAAATTGAAATTCGAATTATTGTTTATTGTCGTTGTGTCGTGTCGTGTTCGTATATAAGATTTGACATGAAATTGACACTATATTAATATGTTTTTTTCATATTTTTTGTGTTTTGTAAGATTAATGTTGAACTAAAGACACTAAAAGTTTATTTTATTTCATCTTTTTTGTGTTTGTCATGTTCGTCGTTTTTATCGTGTTTAAAATGGATTGTTGTCATGTTAGTAAAACAAAACACGGCATCATGTCATGTCGTGTTCGTGTTGTATAAAAATTATCGTGTTGTGTTGCGTCAGTTAAAAATACGAAACGACTGTCCGATTTGTCACCCCTAACTTTACCCAATGCAAATTGTAAAATCATGTTAAACATCTTCTTTAAATGTTCTTGACAAGTTTTAACAAGTTAAAAATTCATTAAAAATAATAACAACATATATAATATGAATACAAGACTAAAACAATATGCCTATTATGCTTTCTTTTGTAACTTGATAAGAAGTGATTTCTTTTGTCATCCAATTATTGGTACAATATTAACAATGTATTAATGCATGTAAAAATACAAGATTTAATTGTTTTACATCCACATTAGTACAAACAACCATGACCACCTAAGACAATCTCAACTACTCAAATATAGCCTCCAAGGCACATCTAATTTGGCTATGAGATGACAAATTCGGTGTTTTGGTAAACTACATGAAACAACGAATTCGAGTCCAACTCTTGGGGTGCTCCTACTTGTAGAGTCACTCTTTTAAGGTGTAGCTCCTTGCAGACATAGACTATTTTTTATCCTTATGGGTCTTGAGCTTCTTTTAGGTAGGTTACATGAGTATCACCCAATTTACCTATCATACGACTCTCTTATCATACGACTCTCTTAACTCTTGAGGTTGAGGTGATGCGAGTTGGATTACTGAAAACCACCTTTTTGGGCTTTGGTAAACACTCAATATTGTTGAGTTGTGGAGTCTGGTCTTTCTTTTGAGCTCCTTGTCAATACTGAGACTTAGAATGGGGTCTGGATTTTCCTTTCACTTCGTTCCAAGGTATGCGGTGCTCAGCAAAATGTTTGTGATGCTCGGCACAACATTTACGGTGCACTTCCACTAACTAGAAAGCTTGTTTTCAAATTATTACGTTTTAGGCTTGGCCTATAAGCAGATTTTAGGTTAACATGTGTTTATAAATAGATCTCCATGTATAATTGTACCCTAAGTATAAAGCATGTGTACAACGACTGTATTTTTACCACTAATAAAAACATTCTCTAGTTCGTATGTGGATTAGTTGATTACTTTAATCATGTGAATAATGTTAAATCTTTGCGTTATTTTTTTCTTCACATCTTATTATCGTGTGCCCATTATTGTTTATCGATTCTTGATACTAACACATATAACATATAACATTAAATGCTAAATTGGTTTGATGATAATTTGGTTGGGGTTTGAATGTTACTCATCGAGTCACTTAATCTCCTATAAAAGAATTTACGTTCAAAATGCAATATTTATTTGATATTTTTTTGTTTTAATATTGCAATGTTTTAACAAAATATATTACTTCGGTTTACTTATATATTTAGTAACAATTACTCCAATGCATTAATACTCACTAGGCTTTCCAAGCCTAATTTATTTATTTTGACATATGTTCACATTTGGCAACTTAGTTGAAGATCACAGACGGATCTAACATTTGGATATTAAGAAGATGTTTGTTTTCGAATAAATTTGTATGTATTGTTGCTTACTTTACTTTTATCTCTTTATTACGTCGTTATGCTATTGTATGTCTTGGCACTTTTAACCTTTTTAAATGTTAAGGACTTGATTGTTTGAGACTTGTATCAACAAATTGTTTTCTTAAAGGATTCTCATTTATGAAACTCACTTTAATTTTTTGTTTGAAATTACTATTTAAAAAAGCTCATACAAGGGATGTTTTAGGGTAGATAATCCTTACGAGGGTTTCAATGGAAGTTGTTGACTCGTCCATGTTTCATAGTCTTGACGGGGCTCTCTGGTACTTTACGTTTACTCGTCTTGATATCGCCTTTGTTGTTCAGCATATTTGTCTTTACATGTGTGATCCCCGAGAGCCTCACCTTCACAATCTCAAGCCCATCCTAAATTACATATGTGATACCATTGATCACGACATTCAGATTCATGTGTCTCCTACATCGAATCTTATTGTTTAAGCAGATGCTAGCTATGGTGGTCGCCCTACCACCAGACGTTCCACTTCTAGTCACTGTGACAAACGTGGTTATTGAGTCTTTGCAGTTTTGAAATCTCCTTCACAGGCTTCGTTGCCATCCCTCGAATGTCACTATAGTATATTGTGACAACATCAGTACAATTTACATGTCATTCAACCCGGCAGGGATAGATACAGGTAGAGATGTGTGGGGTAGGTGCCCTCAAGGGGGGGGGGGATTCTACATGTTATATATATATATATATATATATATATATATATATATATATAATTGAAGTCTTTTTCTTGTCTTATTTTAGTGTGTGTAAGGCGAGAAACAAGCAACTAACAAAACATTAAACAATAAAGTATATTACAAATATGGTCCCTACATTTTACTCATAATTGTAGACCATTTCTTGGAATATTTCCAAAATCTTCCCAAACTTTGGCTTCTATTTGGTTTTTGTCCCCAAATCAAATAAAATGATTTTTGCTTTTTTCTTGAAATTGTAATTAGTAATTAGTGATTAATATGTCATGAACCATTTAGTTCATTTTACTGGCCCAAAAAATGTACTTGATATATTTGTGTGTCCAACCTATATAAATCATAGATCCACTACTGCAATCCGGTGCAACATCGACGCTCTAAACACATAAAGATTAATATTCACTTTGTCCGAGATAAAGTTGCTCTTTGTTTCATTTGTGTCCTTCACGCCCCGCCTTCTGGTCAATACGCCAATGTTTTCGCCAAAGCCCTATCTACGACACTTCTACGATTTCTACTCCAGTTTTGACCGTATGAGGCTCTTTTTCGGATAAAAATGTTGGGGACTATTAGTGTGTTTGTATATTTATATTTATGGCCCATGTATCGTTGATGTAGACGTTTATAGTCCATTCCATAAGGCTCAAATGGCATTGTAATCGTATATGTGTACGTTGATGTTTAACGGAGAAGGCAAGGAATCATTTTGATAATATAAACAAAGGGAATTTAATGTATAGACATATAGTTCTATATCTTGGATATAAATTAGTACAATCGTTATGTAAAGTATGATTAGAATGAGTTTCAAAAACGAACTATTCGAAACCCAAAAAAAATGTGACAAAAAGTGTCATGAGTCATGGTAAAACCAATGTTTATCGTGATCTTAAAATTTTAAAAATATTTTGTATCGGGGAATATTATATAAAAATATAACGTACTTAAATAAAAAAAAAGTTGAAGATATGTTTTAAAATCGACTGTGCTATAAAGGGATCCATTTACCAACTTACCAACTAAATTGAAATGTTATGTTGCAGAATCAATAATCAACTAGATCCCTCATTTTTTATTAGATTATAAATAGACAATAAATATTAATTTGAAAAATAGGTATCCCAAATATAATTAAACTAAACTATCTTTGTTTTAGCTGCAATTTGTTTTTCGTTTTAATTATGAATTGGTATTTTTTATTGCAGATTTGATTATACCTTGAAATTTACAGTTTGACTAATTTAATTAAACTTGATCAATTATAACCTATAATTTATCTCAAGCCAATCAAACATTATATATCAACTAAAAATCGTAGGCAATGTGTTATAATGCAATAAACTTTATAAATATTTTTTATTCAAGAAAAAATAAAATATTTTTACAATTATAATTAATATACTATACTATTATAAAAATATATTGCTTTTATTCAAGAATATGAATATTTGGTAATAAAATAATTTTATTTGAAGAACCCAACGGCTAGCTAGAAAACAAAGTGTAATAATATTCCCTCTCATAATTCATTTGTTCAAAATTTAAATACATATTCAAACCGGAAAACTGGACAGCCGTAAACCGCTGTATTCACTATTCAATCACCTCTTTCCACCGCCATGGAAGACGCCGACGATGAAATTAACTTCAGAGCGTCCTCTTACGCGCCGCCTCCGCCATGGATTTCTCTCTCACCATTTCCTTCTCAAGTTTCCCCATCCCCTCGCCGGTTCTCAAGCAATTTCACCCCTCCGACACAACCAGTACGGGCGGCGAAACAGCTAGCTTGGGTGTCTCTACAGGGTCGGATCGTCGGAGCCGAAGAAGCAAGCTCATCAAAAGCCATTGGAGGTGGATTGAGCCCCGATGAAGCTATTGCGTGGGAGCTCTTTAGTCCTATGCATCGGGTTCTGATTGTCGCCATCATTGCAGTTGCTGCTGCCAATTCGAAGAAGAACAAACAGATTATCCAACTCACTAAGTCTGTTGAAATTAGGGTTCGTATTTCAAATTTTCAATCAATTTATTTCTTCTTCGAGAATTTTGCATCTACAGACATTAAACCAAATTTGTCGATTAGAAAATTGAATCGGAAGTATTCATTTTCTAAAATATGATCCTGATCTCAATTTTGCACTAAATTAGGTTTTGAGTTGAACAGGGTTCATTAAATGAATAGGAAGGATCCATTTGTAATTAATGGATTTTAGGCTTTATGAGCTTTAAATCTGCAGTATTACACTTCCCTACATACAAGTGAAACTCTTGAATTTCAAACTCCAGTATTAATTTCCCAATTATGAACTTTGAATGTTGAATTTACAACAGATTTTATTTCTATTCTATAGTTAACAACCTATTATCAAAAGATTCAATGCTTAATTTTCGTCTCAAACTGTTTTCAGGATCAGGTGCTTTTAGGCATGCAACAAAAACTTGAGAATTTATGTGAGCAGGTGAATTATTTCAAGGATCAGCCTGATACTTCCTCCTATAATTTCAAGTTTTCAGATTGTGGGTGTCGCCTATGTTATCATCACCAGCTTCCATCAGAATCTATAGAAGTAAAGACACTTTTTTTTCTTCAATAACTCCTTCCATATGCTTGTTGCTTTCAAAATAACTCTTGTTGATGATACTTTTTTGCTTTTCTTATAATTCAGGCAGATTGTAATTCTATTGTGAAATCTGCGGATGATGAAGATATGATCAAGTGTAAGATACCTCCTCAGATTGAGATGGAACCAGAAGAACGCCGTATGTCTGATTTGTCAGATTGGTCCCCCAGTGTCAGTTCCACAGTAGATGCTCAGGTAGATATAAAAGTAATAAAAGAAACCTGTGAGTCAAATTTTTGGAGACTCTGGGTGTAACTGAGGATGGCTTGAGAGATTAGTCTATGTGATTGTTATAATTTGTTATATAGTAAATTTCTCACTTTGGTGGCCTGTGGTTTTTCTCTAGTTTTGGAGTTTTCGACATGTGATCAATTTTCGACGGGTTCTTAAGAATCTGTGACACAATTTCCCAACAATAACTATTTGCAGTTTTTTAATTCGTTAACACTAATCAAGTTTTTCCATAACTAATACAGTGGAATACTTCATCAATTGAACAAGATTTTGGCAACACCAGAGAGGAATATGAAGACAAGGATGCCTTAATCAATGAGTTGTCCGCTTTAATTCACACAACAGAATCTTTTGGTTCAAAGGTATGTTTTTTTTTAACTATTTGTAGTTCTTTAAATCGTAAACACAAATCATTTCTTCTACTTTCTTACAATTTATGTTATCAATGGTTTCTTTTTCTTGTATAAAACAGAGAATCTCAGAGCTGGAAGACATTATCCGCCACAAAAACATGATTATCACAAAGCTCAGGAAGGACATGGTAGTTCTTGAACAAAAGGTATCGATTATGTGTAAATCTTTTGTACGTCATATGGGTTTCTATATTCTATCATTCTAATTATATTTATAAATCCTTTTGTAGGTAATTCACCTCACAAGACTTAGGAGATCTTCTACTTCTAAGTCAAATTCAAGCTCAAAAAAGCTTCCAGCCATGACAGACAATCTAGTTTATGACATGGATAGCACAACCAGTCCTTCCTCTTCAGATTCAGATTGCTCCACCAAAAAGATAAAACCAGTTTTTTTGCTGAAAAATGGAAAACAAGTTCCTTATGTGAAGAATGAAAATGTACAAAGAGATAGCAATAGTTCAAGAGGAAAAGAGAAAAATGAAGAACGGAAATTCTCTGATAAATTGATCCAAAAGCCTCCAAGGCCAGTAAGTCCTCTAAAAGAGAAGTCTATGAATCAACAGAGTAATTCGGGATCTGGTTCTGGAGATTTTAAGAGTAGAAAAAGTGGTACAACAAAATCTGGAGTTTCGGGTTCTCATAAGAGATGGGTTTAGATTTAGAATATAAAGTGGTTTAAGTTTATAAAGCTAGAAAGAAAGATTATAAAGAGGGCTTAGTAATAATATGTTTATTTATCGTGCACCTATTGTTCTCTTGTTTTATTTTAATCGGAAACTGAAATATTGATCGTGGTTTTGGTATGCGTGTTAGTTGTTATTTACTCAACAATAAGCATTCATAGTTGCTCAATGCTCAAAAGTTACTAATTGTTCCTTTCTATACTTGATAACATCAACTCTCGGGTTCCCAAAAGGAACTTGATCATATACATGTTTAACGTTTTGTCCCCTAAATTTGATGATTATATTACTTGAGAGATCACTATTGGTCGTAGGTACTAACTTTAGCTCTTTAACACAATCTTTTACAATAAATTGATGGAATTTGTTTAAAAATAGTGTAAACAGTAAATTATTCATTATTTCTATTGGTCTCATTTTTATAATTTTTACAAAAACCAACAATATATTTATTAGGTGTTTACAAACTTGACCACAACTCTTTTTATTACAATATTTTCATTATAGTCCTACAAATGTTTATAAACAAAATAAATTATGCATATTTGAATAGTTATTGAAACAACCATTTTATTAAATAAAACAAAATTACATTTAAAGCACATTTAATTGAATATTACAGATGCATTTTGAATACATTACACATACATTTAAAAAGATATTACACATTTATTCTCATAAATAGCCAATGAAAAAATGTCATCATATCGAACTGTCATATAAAGATGCACATTGGTAGTCCCTGATCTCGAGTTAGTCTCAAAACAATTTGGTTTTTTTTGGAACCGGTCTTCACTCTTCAAACATTCCAATCTATTTCGGCCTACATCAATTTGGTCTTGTGATTTTTGTTTTCTCCTTTTTCGGTTCGATTTTGGTTTTTTATAGTTCAATTTAGATATTTTTTGGTTTCATGTTTTTTAATTAACAGATGTGTTGTTATGACAAAAATTATATAGTATTAAGATTTACTCAAAACAATACATTAAAATTTAATAAAAGAACAAAAAGGTAACACATTAAGCAATGTTATTAAAAATGTGTAATCAACAAAAAAATATATGTATATATAAACTTTAGCTATGGGTATTTTGAGATGGTTGTGAAACAGCCCATCCTTTTTTCCGACCAGCCCAGATGGTCTTGGTCTATTGTTTTTTGGGACCTGTCTTGTTTTAGACGGGTTCTATTTCTGTCCTTATTGTGAAAAGACAATAACCCTAAATTCTAAATCCATTCATATCAACTCAAAGTTGAGGTGTTTTTAGAAAATTAGTATTATCTTACATAGTCCAAATGCACTGGTGTTAGCATCCTAAGAGAATCCGTATGCATTCTTATTCAAACTCGACACATTCTAAAATGAATCCTTAGAAATAAATATGGCAAAGATTTCTGGAAAATGTAAACTTCTAAAGTTCACTATGAACGTGAAAATTAAACAAAAATGAAAATTGAAACTTGGATGTCAGTTGTAGAACAAGCAGTAAGACTAGTAATCCAATAACATGAAATTCAATACTCCATTTGAATAACATATCAAAATCAATCGACATACCACAATTTACACAAAAACATAGATAGAAATCAGATAACCTAACAATGATCTTGTAACAGAATAGTGAACGAAATAAACCCTAAACAAGACCTTCAACAAGCCAAATCAGATCGAAAACTTAAGCTCTCTCACCACGGATCCTACGAGCAAGTTGCATATCCTTAGGCATAATAGTGACTCTCTTAGCATGAATCGCGCATAAGTTAGTATCCTCAAACAATCCAACTAAATACGCCTCAGACGCCTCCTGGAGTGCAGCAACAGCAGAGCTCTGAAATCGAAGATCCGTCTTGAAATCCTGAGCGATTTCCCTCACAAGCCTCTGAAACGGCAGTTTCCTGATCAACAACTCAGTGCTCTTCTGATACTTTCTGATTTCTCGAAGAGCTACGGTTCCTGGCCTGAATCTGTGTGGCTTCTTAACCCCTCCGGTCGCCGGAGCCGACTTTCTTGCTGCTTTGGTGGCCAGCTGCTTCCTTGGAGCCTTTCCTCCGGTGGATTTCCTTGCTGTCTGCTTAGTACGAGCCATTTTGGTATTCAATGAGAGGCTGGAAATCGGAAGAGAAGAGAAAGATTTGGAGGTGGAAATAGTTCGATGGGTGTATGTGGCGTTGTGCAAGGGTTTTTATAATGGGTTAGATGGCGGCAAGTTTTGAAATTTTAGAGGTACATGCGATCTTTTGCCCCGTTGGATTGAAAATAAATCGACGGTGGGGAAGGGTATTGATCGCGATCCGTGTGCTTGATAATCAATAAGATGACATGAAGGCATGAACACACATGTAATGTGTTTTAGTAATATTTTAACATGTTTAATTTGGGAATTTGTTTTTTTCTTTTGGCATTCCTTATGAAAACTGTTATAATTATATAATTAAAATATTGTTTTAAATTTTGGTTAGGCAAAGTCTGCTAAAAACCTAATTAATCATCGACTTAAAATGTTTTATTTTTAACAAATAAATCTTTTTAGTGGTAAAATGACTAAAAGTAACATTTGGTATGAAGGTTATCCCATATGATTCAACCATTGGATCTATCATGTATTCCATGTTATGTTTTAATCCGACGTTCTGTATGATTTGAGCATTATGAACCATTATCAGTAAAATCTGAGTAATCACATTAGATTTAAATGAATAGCGTTTTGAATGTGATAATAACTAAAGATATTTATCAGTTTACGGAGGTCTGGAATGTAGAGTGTTACACTGGTGTTGGTTTTCAAGCAAGTTGAATACCCTAATTTTCTCATAAAGTTGGTGATCGTTAACAAACAAAAGTATATTCACAAAATAAGTGTTATTAACACATGAAAAATATAAAAAATAAAAAATTGTATTAAGTATACTTAGGAGAAATTGACACTCTAATTGGTCAAGGTTCCACTTGACAATGTTATAGTGAATGAATATCGGAAACTACCATCTTCTGGTGTTTGCCCAATAACGGATGAGTTACGAAAGTTAATCGAGGAGGGTACCAAGCCGAAGAGGGGATGTAAGAGAAAAGTGAAAGCTGATCCTTCTGATGTTGTCAAAGCTCCCAAGAAAACCAGAAAGCAAGATAAGAAACCGGGATCTCCTTCTCCGTTTGTTCATGAGGATTCGAAATCCAGGATTCTTACTGAAGTCCGAGAGGAAGGTACATTTCACAATGAGGAAGACGATATTTCAGCTACTTCGCAACCACTCCCATCGAACCAATTCCGAAGGTATCATCTCCACCTCCTTCATTTATTCTTGTTTCGGATGTCTTTCATACATTTACTCCCCCATCTTCACCAATCACAACTACCATTCCGATCTCATCCATCCTTCGACTACGAACAAATATATATGTTGGATTTTCACTTCCTCGGATCTCCATTCCATTAACCTCCACAATCTTTTCTGATTCCGCCCATCCAATCACTTCATCTATTACCACTCCACCAGAAGTTCTGATTGTTAAGTCCATTCCGGAGGCGACTAGGGCTTCAGACATTCATGTCAACGTATCTGATACGGGGGCAAATGTTCATTCTAGTGCGACTTCAACACATGATACATCCATTATTCCTCCTACAGACGAATTTGATGATATTATGTATAGAGATGATCCAGAAGCCTTTACGGACTTCGTCTTTAGTCCCTTCACTGTCAACGTCAATAATGATGATGATGATGCCCCGATGACGAAAGGGCGGTTTAAGTAGCTCATTGAAAAATTGGATTCTCGCTTAGAGTCTTCCAAATCTTCATCTTCATCCAACAGGGAGTACATGTTGGCAACCCACAAGGCTACTATAGAGATGTTAACAAAAGAAATTCCAAAGTCCTTGAAGATTCTTCCAATGCAATTAAAGCATCGGAGAAGACCCTTTCGGAAATGACCGTAAAAGTCAAAAAACTATCTCAGGAGGTGAAAGACTTTATGGTTGGGTTCATATAATCTTCTGACTCAAATACTGAAGCCGTAAACAAAGTCATTGCAGGGTTTCGTAATTTTTTACAAGCCGATAAGGAGACACTCTTAGTTGTTCGTTCAACCATAAAATTCGACAATGTTGAGCTTAACGCCTCCGTTCTTACCAATATAGAAAAGTTGCAGGAAGACGTGGCAGCTGAAAACAACATTATGGATCATTTGGCTGAAAAGACTCAGAAGGATAAGGTCCTTTCGGTGAAACTGCAATATACTAACAAGAATCTGGATGATCTGGAAACCGAGAAAACAATTATTAAAAGTTGTGTTTATGAAATAAATCAATATCTGCTCAGGCTTGTGGAGACTCGTGACTCCTTGTTCACCGTTTCAGTTTGATAACAACTATTGGACAAACTTCAACCAGTCTTTGCAATGTTGAATCAGATTGAAGGTGTTTCGGGGTAACGGTGCTCTTCTGAAACAAGGGGGAGACAAAGAAAAAGAAGAACCCCAGGCAAAGAAAACGACTGAAGAGCATGAACAAAAACCGAATAGTGATGACCAGAAGAGTAATGAAGCTTCTGTTTGATTAGGTGCTTAATCACATAATTATAATTGATATGTACTTGAATTGATAGTAGCACAGTCCTTTTGGGTTGCCTTCACACTATCAACTAGACATGATGAACTATTGAGAAAGAGGAATAATTTATTATTTGATTAATAAATTGAAAAAAAATGATTTATTAATGTATTATGAAAATAATATATTAATTAGAAATCGTATTATTTAATTAATATTTAATCAGAAATTAATTTGGAATTAATTTTGGGATTAAATGAATTAATTAAAAGTGTAGGGGCTAAAGTGCAATTGTTCAATAGTTGAGCAAGAGGTTCCAGAACCTTCCTAGGGAAGGGTATGGACGAAATTCCTATGAAAATTAGGGTTTCTAGATTATCCCACATTGATAATTAAGGAGGTGGATAATTACCAAATTTGAATTAATAATATTATATTCAAATTAGGGTTATCCAGGACATCCTATCTGCACTATAAATAGGCCTCTACACCTTGTAATTTTTGGCCACTCTAACCCTAAGAAGGATAGCCAAAATTGTCAAGTCTTCTTATCCTCTCTCCTCTCTCATCCTCTTGCTAAGTGTGTTTGAGAACGATTAGAGGCACGACACTTGTAGTGCTTGCTCTCGAAGCTTCAACAACACTAAGGATTTGGATTGTTATTACTACATAGCAATCAAAGGTATGTCTACTATATCTTAATATGAATTTCGAAAATAGTAGGTCGTTCCTAGGGTTTTCCTTTTGATGTTTAATACTTGTATGTTCAACTAGAGAAAACATAGATCGAGACAATTAGGGTTGCATGCACACATAAGATTGTTTGTTATGCTCAAAACCTGTAACACCGAAAATTTCCAAACAAAAATTTCTTTTTAAAATCATATGATTCTCATAGCGCATTTCACCAAAATCTCATTTAGTTAATTTACAAAACGCATCTCCATATTGTCTAATTAATAATCTAGGATCCTCAAACATAACTCTTTCTCTGGTGTGTACAATCGAGTCGGTGCCTTCCCGCGTTCCTGAGAAAAAACTGAAACACATAACATGGTAAGCACGAAGCTTAGTGAGTTCCCCAAAGTACCACATACAACACATTAGCCACTCGAGGCTATAACTCTGTAAGACCCTCCGGTCTATGTGTTTCAGTGGGACCCTCCAGTCCCATGGCTCGTTGGACCATCTGGTCCGGTCTCAGTGAGGACCCTTCGGTCTCACAGCTCGTCTCAGTAACACATAATATAACATATATATCACACAGACAAATGCATAACTAAAGTAAGCACATACGACCCTCTAGTCACACATAAATACCACTCTAGGTAAAGTATAGTGAGAAGACCCACCTCGGATGATGAACAGCCCCTATAAACGATGTTGTTACACACCGGCCTCTAACTCTGAGCCAAAACCACAATTAACCCAATTAGGAACTAAGTCCAGACTCTCACTCATTAGGTCTAAAGGAAGACTACTAACCAGCCCATTAATAGCCTAAAACCCATTGGGCCCACCAAGGCCCAATTATAAATGGGCTCACCCCAAGGCCCACTCTCAAAACTAAATGGCAAGCCCAACTCAAGGGCCCAAGCACGAATATATATATTCCTCTGGTCCAATACTTTATTGCAACAAGCCCAAACTCCATGCCCAAAATAAGACTTAGCCCAAAAGTCCATAGTGAGGTTACGCGGGGCGTACCTCCCTTGGTACGCTCAGCGTACTCACAATCTAGATTGGTCATCGAGGACACTGGGGCAGTACGCGGGGCGTACATGAATTACACTCATAGTACTCCCCATATTCACTCTTTCTACTCACTTGGTCTTAATCAGTTAAGACATTACCTCAAACCCCAAATTTGGACTCTCTAATGGCCCTTGCCCCATAAAGTCAGTGACTTTAAGCCTTTGCATGGCTGATTAGGTCACTGATATTGTCATATTTATACATGTTTTTAGGCAATATTTAAGTACATTTTTATTAATGTTTTGGTTATTTGCATTGAATAATGATACTTATAAGGTTAAATTGTACTTTGCAGCCGAATAGAAGACATTTTGAAGAAGAGGGACTAAAAACGTCAGAACATGGAACTTTGGAGGTTTGAAGAAAAGAAGAATACAAATCCAGCAAAAATTTGTACTCACGACGTGAGAATTGAAGGTTCACGACGTGAGTTGGAGTATTCGAGAAGATAGGCATCGGGAGGAAGAATCATTGTCAAACACGGATAAGTACGTACTCACGATGTGAGACATTATTGCTCACGTCGTGAGCTTGGAAAAATCAGAAACTATTTATATCCTTGCTCATTATGACTTGGGAGACCTTTTGGCTTCCTTTGAGGGTTCCTGGAGACGATCTTCATAAGGAAAAGAGCTATGGTATTTGCTTTCAGCAACCAAGGGAGAAGAGAAGTTCTATTTAGCTCAATTTAGTTCAGTACTTTAATCATGCTTATTTACTATGATTTGTTTGAGTTTGATTTTCACCATGAGTTGCTGAATTTAGTTACTCCTATTTAGCTA